CACCTCTTTAGCTTTTATGGCCTCTGAGAGCTGCCTCAGGAGCCCCGCATCTATTTCTTCCCCTTGATGTGGGGGTCTGTAGCAGACCCCTACCACCAAATCCCTTTCTCCTTGCCCCCCATGTAGCCTAACCCACAATCCTTCTACTTTCTCCTCCTTCGATTCCGTCTTGATGAGGGTTGACGTATATTGCTCATTGACATAGAGCGCAACCCCTCCCCCTTTTTTCCCCACCCTGTCCTTTCTGTACAATCTATAACCCTCAATATGTACTGCCCAGTCGTGGGACGAATCCCACCAGGTTTCCGTTAGCCCTACTAAGTCGTAGGTGTTTTGTGCAAGCAGGTGTGCTAGTTCATCCTGCTTGTTTCCCATGCTCCTAGCATTAGTATATAGGCACTTGAGCCCTGCGACAGGTGCCTTTGCTGCCCCCCTGCTCCGAGTCCCAAGGGGCCCCTTATTTCTTACCTTCACGTTTCTTACCTGTGCCATAGTGCTGGCTGCCCCGCGTCTTGCAGGTTCCCAATGGTCTCTTTCTTCAGGCTGGGCTGTCCTTGTGGGTGCCACATGGTTTGGTGGTCCACAGCTTCTCCTGCCCTCATCTTGGTCATGTCTGACCAACCTGATTTCCCTTTATAAGGTAACAAACCTTGTTCGAAGATCGATGATCTTCCGAGGTCCCTTCCAGCCCTAATGTCTATGAAAGCCCTGGATAGGGGAGAGCAATGGATGTGATGCACTAATTTTACCAAGGCTGATGACTGTCTCATGAAATTCTCATTTTAACAAGCTACAGAAATGCAGATTAGATGAAAATACAGTGCTCTGTAAGGTGGATATATAACTGGTTGGAACATCGTGTTCAATAGGCCTGTGCGAAGCGGCTAGCATTTGCTTCAGATTCGATTTGGAGGACAGTGATTTGATTTGGTGATTTGATTCGATTTGGCTGAATCTGATTTGGAGATTTGGCTGCTGCCAAATCTCTGAATCTGCCAGGCCAAGCCCATCCCCTGCCCGCCCCAGCTCTTGTTTATA